AATTTGCATTTTATAACAATAGAATACAATCCAACATTCTCCTCTAGTTGCCCTGATAATACACATATTTTTTAAATTCTTACCATTTTATCATCACCTCAACCCTGGTTGAGATCAAACTAAAGTCTCACATCAAAAACTATACATTACAACATTACAACATACACTTTTTTAAATTTCCATAAAATATTTTTATTTGCCATTTTTAATAATAGAATACAATCCAACATTCTCCTTCAGTTGCCCTCATAATACACATATTTTTTAAATTCTTACCATTTTATCATCACCTCAACCCTGTTAGAGATCAAACTAAAGTCTCATATAATAAAATTAATCTACACACGAATTACTTATATATTATAGGTCTCGAATAACGACACTAAATTAAACTATGATTTTCTAAAATTCTGTTGCAAATTAATTAACGTTTACCATCATATTGAGCAATAATTCTTATATTAGACATTTCGATGAAAGTATAACACTAATTTCTTAGGATTAATTTGCTTAAAAAATTGTATTGAAATTTAATTTATGTTATCAAAATATTGTGTCGCCATTATATAAAAAAAATATGCTTTAATTTGAAATATAATAATTTGTCTGTTATTTACAGAAGAAAAAAATTATCGAATGGGTTTCAGTCGAGGGGCTATGCATAAAAAATTGATGTGGCAAAATACGTATTCGGTAATAAGTCACGAAAAATATGGAAACGAAGGTATAGTATGAACATATACTTTTTTAAATTTCCATAAAATTCTTTTATTTGCAATTTTTAATAATAGAATACAATCCAACGTTCTCCTCCAGTTGCCCTGTTAATACACATATTTTTTAAAATCTTACCATTTTATCATCACCTCAACCCTGTTAGAGATCAAACTAAAGTCTCATTTAAAAAAATTAATCTACATACGAGTTACTTATATATTATAGGTCACGAATAACCATAATAAATTTAACTATGTTTTACTCAAACTCTGTTGCAAATTAATTTACGTTTACCATCATATTGAGCAATAATGCTTATATTAGACATTTCGATAAAAGTATTACATTAATTTCTTAGGATTAATTGGCTTAAAAAATTGTATTGAAATTTAATTTATGTTATCAAAATATTGTGTCGCCATAAAATAAAAAAAAAAGATTAAATTTGAAAAATAATAATTTGTTTGTTATTTACAGAAGAAAATAATTATCGAATGGTTTTCAGTGGAGGGGCTATGCATAGAAAATTTAAGTTGCAAAATACGTATTTGGTAATTAGTCAACTAGAATAAAGAAACGAAGGTATAGTATGAGCATAAACTTTTTCAACTTGCCATAAAATTCTTTTATTTGCAATTTTAAATATTAGAATACAATCCAACATTCTCCTCCAATTGCCTGTTAACACACATATTTTTATAATTCTTACGATTTTATCATCACCTCAAGCCTGGTTTAGATCAAACTAAAGTCTCACATCAAAAACTTTATCTACACACGAGTTACTTATATATAATTCGACTTGGCCAACCATACTAAATCAAACTATGTATAACTCAAATTCTGTTGCAAATTAATTTACATTTAACATCATATTGAGCAATAATGCCTATAATAAACAAATCAAAAAAATAATTGCAATAATTTCTTAAAATTAATTAGCTAAAAAAGTTGTATTGAAATTTAATAAGTGTAATCCAAATATTGTGTCGCCATAAAATAAAAAAAAAAAGATTAAATTTGAAAAATAATAATTTGTCTGTTTTTTACAGAAGAAAAAAATTATCGAATGGGTTTCAGTGGAGGGGCTATGCATAGAAAATCGAAGTGGCAAAATACGTATTTGGTAATAAGTCACGAAGAATAAGGAAACGAAGGTATTGTATGAGCATATACTTTTTTAAATTTCCATAAAATTCTTTTATTTGCCATTTTTAATAATAGAATACAATCCAACGTTCTCCTCCAGTTGCACTGTTAATACACATATTTTTAAAATTTATACCATTTTATCATCACCTCAACCCTGTTTGAGATCAAACTAAAGTCTCATATGAAAAACCTTATCTACACACGAGTTACTTATATATTATCCGTCTTGGCCAACCATAATAAATTTAACTATGTATAACTCAAATTCTGTTGCAAATTAATTTACAATAAATATAAAATGTTGATACATAATTAATTTTTTTTTTAGATAAATATTGTAATGACCTACTGTTGAAATTTGGTCAACGTGCCATTTCCGAGGATCACGTCATTGGTTCATCACCCCTGAATTATTTTTTAGATAACCAATGTCCATTGCAAGCATCCTCAGGTTTTATACATCATGTCATATAAAATTATTGTAAAATTGTAGGTTTCTACAAATATTTTTTTTATTTATATTACAATTAAAACCCAAACTGAAAATATATAAACCATTATTTTGATTAACTTTCTCATTTTTTTTTTCTAATTATTATAAAATTTGCTATGATAATCAAAAAATGTGCACCTTAATACATCAACTAGATCTAATTCAACAATAAAAGTGTCATATTTTTTTATTTGACCAAGATATTTAGTAAAAATGTTCACATAAACATACGCACAAAATATATAGAAACCACTAATCTCTCACTACATTTAGAATCCAAAAACCATGAATACAATTATTACGACAAAATATAACATACCTATATGGCTATATAATATGGTAACTCAATTTAAATATAATAATCTATTTCAAAAAAATGTATTGGTTATAATTTTATAAACTATTGTTTAATAACCACCCCCAAAATATTGAAACAAAAAGTAATTTTATTAATAGAAGGTACAATAAGGTACAAGTATTATGCATATGTTGTACAACTCGCCAATGCTCATTTTTTATATTGTAAATTATCAATATTTTGAATTTCATGATATCGAGTATATACCCATAAAAACAGCTTTTTGTTTCATGGTGCAATTCTGATTACTCCAACATACAGTCATTTTGTTTTAAACTTTATCATGTACTATTAAAAACATTTTTAATTTAGTGCTTCAAAACACACATTATTAATAATAATAATATTTAAATAAAAAAATGTGTACGAGTGCTAGATTTTATTTGTTCCAATTGTTTTGTATAATTTCAAGACACATAGATAACACTTAAATGTAATATACGATCTGGGAGTATATAATAATATGCGTGCCCGGTTGTCAGAATATCGAACACCACTGCCCACTGACCGCCCTGTTGATCTATTGTATATATATCTATATGTATACAGCGACTCAAAGGAAGTGGATGGGGTCGCTGAGAAAAACCCTTGAGTACTAATGTGCGATGGGTGTGTATGTATTATGTGTGTACTGTGTATACTTATAGGTATGTAGCTTACAACTATGGTAACAAAGGAACAAATAAAAATAAACAGTAATCAGATTGCTGTGCTGGTACACAAAAATGGTATTACGACCCTCTTGGCCCAGCAAATAAAATGTATGAAAATGAAAGTCGTGGCGATTAGCGCGAACGGAAAAATGTAAAACAATAATAATACAAATTGCGGCGATTAGCACGCACGAATTAATAGTAAGTAAAAATACAATGAATACATTATAACATTTAAATATTGACCTTCTGGCTCAACATTATAAAATAATAGGTTTATGGCTCTTCTAGCTCAACAATAATAATGGTAAAAAACTCACATTTACGAAGTGCGGCCAGCCGCTTACCTAAACCTAAAAATGAAAACAACTACACAAACACGGAAACGGAAAATGATACACAAATTGAAAACTGCTCTTATAATTATGGTAACAACGGTAGTCAGGGCGAATTGTCCCACCGGGAATTCGGTAGTTTTCCCGATGGACTGGACTGCTAAATAGGCAAATTATTTTTTATTTTTTTCTAATTAAGTATTGTTTAATTTAATAAATCATGATTTATGAATGTTAATCGATAAAAATAAGAGTAGGCAAATAAACAATAGAGACGTTTATCTAGATTAGGTATCGCAGATTAATTAAAATGTTTTCTAATATTCGTGGTTTCATTTGATCTGTGGTATTATTTTATATAACTATTATTATAATATTATAATTATATACGTTTTCATCGCGAATTAGATAACATATGTTCATTCGTGGTTTTCATGTATATTACTATGTTTACGTCCGGTTAGTGTTATCATGGCCGTTACATTTGTTTTATTTTTATTTTGTGTGGTTGAAAAAATACCATTGTTATTTGTTCTTAAGTAATGTGTAGTAAAGACTTAAGGCTTCTCATGTGTAACTCGTCAGCGCTATCCTAGTTTAGTGTTACTTCAGCAAAGGACCTAGCTGAAGAAAAAGTAGTTGAACGGCATTTTCTATTAACAATAGTTAGAACAGAGATAGGTTGGTTTATGGTTCAATTGCCCCTTAAATTACATTATAATATAATAGGAAATACTTAAATCATGGAAAAAAGGCGATTTTTCAACCCGGAAACCAAACTGACAAATGGTGCTGTTCCTTTGAACAATATGATAACTTCATGTTGGAGTATATGAACTTGATTTACATGCAGCTAGTCACTAACAGTTCAAGTTTAGAGATTAGTTATTACCTACCTACCACATCATGCTGTAATTATTAAGGACAACAGCATCACTACAAAATTAAAATTAGTGTTTGATGCTTCAGTTACAGGAAGCTCTGGAATGTCTCAGACATGCTGAAAGGTCTTACTACATTCTATTTCACTGCGATTTCAGATCTATAAAATCACACTCATAGTTAATATCAAAAAAATGTACTGACAGATATAAATACACGCGGAGGACTGTGAACTTCAAAAATTCTTATACTAGTCCAACCCTTCAGAACCTCTGAAAGAATTCACACTACGAATAGTTACAAATGACACAAAGGCTGACTCCTATCTGGTGACTCGATGTCTAAGGCAACTTGGTTCCGAAACATGTAGATCAAGTGTACAAAGAACCATACGTAAAGATTTCTATGTAGATAACTTATTAACAGATGAGTAATCAATTGAAGACTATCTTAATTTATATAATAGCTCATCAACTATACTGACTACTAATTGCAGACATATCACTATGAAAAACTATAAAGGGAAAATCTAAGAAATGTAGGTATTAGTTAAAAATATTACGACCTTCTTTTTTCTTGTGAACAACTTATCTACCAGCAATTTTGCTCCAACTTATAATGATAGCATTTTTTCTAAAAGGAAATGTCATGAAGAAGGTACTGTAGAAAGGTATATTTAACGATTTTCTCAGAAGTTTTTTCAACAAATGTAAAAAATCGAAAAAAAAAATAGGAAAAACAAATCCATTTTAATTTTGGAATTGGAATAATTGGAATGTTATCATAATATAACATATATTTTTTGACAAAGCAGCACTGTTGACTTTACAATGTTCAGAATCGTTTTTTTATTAGCAATGGTTTATTGTTGCTTAAAGGTGTACATTAAATTACTTATAACAGTGGCTGCATCCAACCCATTATCCTTCAGCATCCTTTTTAATGTTTATAAAATTAGTTGTAATAAATACAAATTTTTAATTATAAATAAATATATGTTTTAAATTTGATGCAAAATCGAAAATATATTCCTGAACATTTTCGAGCTATACCTATAAGATAGGTAAATACATTTTATAGGATTTGTTTACATTTATAATGAAAATCAATGTCAAAAATGTGTGTCCACCTTTGTACATCAGTAGTTATTATTGAGTTGGTAATACACCAATTTTATTAAATTAAATTACATTAATAAATAACTCAGTTTTAAATTCAAGCATGAATAAAGCCATACAATATTATATAGATAAAGATTGTTCAATGTTTAATAAGGTTCCAAGTTATTAAAGTTTATAGAGTTCTGGAATAATCTATTTGTTAATTTCAATCCCAATTTTTCATGACAAGGTCTTAATTAATTAATAGAAATTTCCAGGTGCAGTTTACTTAAAAATTGATCACTTTAATTTTATATACAAATTTATTTATAACACATGTAATATTGTAAATTAATTATATATCATTAATAATTACTATTATTTTAGGATTTTCAAAGTGCCACTTTTTATTTAAATACTTTGGAAAGTGAAATAAAAATTGGAAACATCCAACCTAAAGATTTTTTAACTGACTCTATTATTGAGTGCATATATGTGACAGTACAATCAATAATTGATATTTCCAATAACTTATTAATTTATTGTGGTTTTATATGTTTATATGTTTTGACAGTTAAAATGTGTCGAGATCAATTTAGAAAGTTATTTTAAACTTTTATCAATATGTTTTTAATGATTTATTCAACTGTTAAATATATATATATATATTCTTTTAAAAAAAAGAAATTTTTTAATATAATCAAACAACCCCTATATTTCTTTATTTGTAGAAGATTTACATTTATTCATATGACACTATATGGGCAACACATTTTATCTTACTTGCTTAGTATAAAAATACAAAATAATTCATGATAACTTAAAAATTACAAATAAAATGTACATACATGAAAAAGAAATATACATATAAATTAATAAATAATAAAAATATGAGCATAAATAAAAGATGTATAGCAGCAACAATAATTGATATTGGCAAAGATTTAGGTAATTTAACAGTTTTGTTGAACCATTATTTCCATAGACTTTTGTGTTTTTTGTTTTTTGTATTTTGCTCAATTATAAAAACTACATGAAAAGTCAACTCATTTACTCAAGAACTAGATTAGAAATTCAACTAAAATTGTCTCTTATCATTTTTGATTGATGCAATATTTCTGTTAGAAAACATAAACCATACAAATTTAAAATAATAAAATATTAAAGCAGTGTATTTGTCCAGTTTATATCATTTTTGGTTTTTCCCAATTATTATCAAAACTGCTTCTTAGGAAGATTAAAAATCAATTACTTCTTTAACAACTTGATTTAAAATACATCAAAAAGGGCCATGTCATTCTTCAGTTGAAGCAACTTTTCAACCAAAAATAGCACATGATAAGAAAACAATACCTTTTTCTTATGCTATAAATATAGAAATGAAACTACTCTTTTGGAAACCAAAAATAAAAATGGATAGCAAAAAAATGTTTTCATTTTTTCTATGTACTAGTTTTTATTGTGTTTTTAGATGCTTTAATACATCAAATCATGCTTGCTTTTTTTAAACTGCAACTATTGAGCATTTTGTAAATTATTTCATTAATTTAATTTAATTTTGGTTATAACTTATTGCTATTTGAAGATTTTCCAATTGAATAGTAGTGAAAATGTCCCTGTCCCCAAAAACATGTCTTCTATTAGGAGATATCCGTTAGAAGAGGTTTCACTGTAATAACTATAGACATTTTATTCCATTATACAATTATACTTATTCATTATTATACTTATACATCTAAACTGACTACAGTTGTCTATATGCATAATATATTAATGTATATGTATACAGAGCGTTTTAAGAAACCTCCTTCTTAACATCAAAGAGTAAACTGCCCTAGAGCATTGAGAGGCCCCATATATGTATGTGGGGGCATCAAATTTTAGATGGATATCAAGTTTAGATACTAAACATATGATGATTAGTCTATAGGGCTAATGATAACACAGTACTGTATGTACATTATACATTGTACAATTGTATAATATAGTTATGCGATAAATTTGGCAATAATAGATATTTAATCATGATTAATGATTACTTTGAAAAATGATTAATAACTTATGTTATTTAATTGTAAATTAATTAATTTTACCCAACACTGATTATAATATAATTCATTTAATAGTGTACCTTATAATTAAATATAATTTGAATTGTATTTTGTATGTACATATATGTAAAGACCTCACAAACTGTAATTGGATATTTGTGTTAATAATAGGGAGTAAAAATGTGAAGATATTTTTGAATTTTTCAAAACATTATCGAAAAGATTTTTACTCCTTTAATGTATTTAAAATAATAGTATATAATTAATTTCAGGGCAAGGTTTACTCAAAGGTATTGTGATACATTTAATCATGGCTTCACTTCAGAATTAATTTAATTTAATCTAACCTACTTCTCCAGAATAAATTAAAGATATTTTGTTTATGAAATACATCTGTACAATGAATAGGACTTATTTCTATACCTAATAAATTTAATTTATTCTCCAGCACTACAATAGGTAATGCTAATAGTATACTATATTATGTTGTTTAGATTATAACTAGTTGTTAAATTTAGTATGCTTCCTTTTCTAGCTCTTGATGATTAAAAATTTTTATTAAAAAACAAAAATTTTATTTAAAAACATTAATACTCAATTATATGCTGTATATTATATTTTAAATGTTTAAATGTTTTTTTAAATTAAGTTTAAAATTAATAATTTTATACATTTATAAATTTATAAAATAAAATATTAAAAAAATTTTTTTTTTTTTTTATATTGAATCAAAGAAAAACAGAATTGCTTTTATTAAAATTTCTTCTAGAAGATATATCAGTCCAGTACTAAAGAAATACGTAATGACAATATTAATTTAACTTCTGCTTATTTGTATGTCAGAAGAATTATCCATAAAGCTTTACCCTATGTAAGCACTTTAAGAAAGTGGTATTCCAAATTAGATGGTTTTACAATGTATAATAATACTATTTTATTATTTTTAGGTATGACTCAGGAATCTATTCTTGAAATCATTGGAGGTAAAAAATATGAAAAAAATATGATAAACAATTATCTGAATATCTAATTATGGATGAAATGAGTATCAAATAATGGATTGGTACAATAAATTAAGGATATATAGATTATATAATCATAGTGTGAGTGTCAAAACAGAACTGGAAATATTTCAAACATCTTATTTATCTTCAAAATAAAAGTAAAAATGAATTTTAATGAGTTAATGGCTGTAGTATTTAATAATCAATTCAAGCCTAATTTTATAACACTAAACGCGCTATAATTTAGTGAAAAAAAAAACCCTATGCTCTAAAACTGTTAAAAATAACAAAATTAAAATTGTTTTTGATTATTATTTTGTATTAGTCCTATATTTAATTTATTAAGAAGTCACTGAATTTATTTATGGAATTTTTAATATAGATTTCATTAATCTCCTTTGAAAAACCAAAGTTCGTAAAGTCACAGGTCTCCTTAAACGTTGTGGAAAATTTAAGTATTCAAAAATATTGGCTTTAATTACACTAAAAATTTTCAAAATCAGAGCATTCTTAAAAAATTATACTCTAGATAGACAGAAAATAATATCAATTAAAGAATTCAACATCAACTTTGATCTAAGAGTCGTTGAATTTTAGAAATTTATATTAAATTTTCAGTATGGTGATGACAATATTACTTCTCTGTTATTTAATAGATTAGTATCATTTGTTTTTATTTTACCACACAGTAGCTCAACTGTTGAATTCTTTTTAATTCAAAAAAAAACAAAAATTCAGAATACACTATCAACAGATACTGTTTTATTGATTTTACATTGTAAAAAAATGTTGAAAAATCAAGATAAATATATATTAATTTTAATATATTTAACATATTTTAATTTTGAAATAATTTTTAAAAATTAATAACTCAGTATTTAGTACATTTATTTACTTATCAATAGAGCAGAGAACTTCTAGTACATTAACATCTAAAAATATGCAAGCACTTACGCACTTAAAAATCAAGAAGTATGCACTTAAAATATGATTTTAAAAAATTATTTTATTTTATTATTTTGTCTTATTATAATATTTATATATAAAAAAATGACATTATAATTAGTTTATTAATAAATACATGAATTTACCAATATGTTCTTAATTTTTCTAATATACTAAAATGTGCATTTATATGCAAAATACAATTTTTAATTTGATCTCCTGGTGTTATGAAACACATTTGTTGATCACTAGAATTTTTCTAAGATTTTTCTAAAAAAAATAAGAAAAAACTAGAAGTTCTCAGCCCTACTTATAAATAATTAATAAGTTGTTTCAATATGTTACTATTCTTCATATGGTTCAAGCTGCTTGACTTCCTGAATAATGGATGAAATCATGTCAGCGACCAAGGACAGAATAGAAATTGCCAAATTCTGGCAAGGAAGAATTTGACACACAACTCTCAATATTACTATACTTCTCTACCAAACTACATAGCCACCAAATTAAATTAACTATTATTTAGTTTGATTTATTAATTTATTGTATACATGTATTTGTCTTATTTTACATTTATTTCTTTATTTACTATATATTTATAATTTTTAAATTTTTAGTCTATCACATTTTATATACAAAGATTGACACGAAAAAATAATTGATTAAAAATTTTATTTTATTTAATGATTTAAGAAAAATTGAAGCATTTTTTTTAATAATAAATCATAATAAATGTATTATATTTTGTATATTATTACATTATACCAACTAGTGTAATAAAATATGAATTTTTATTTGTGTACAACGAAATATAGTATTACTTAGGTATTGTTATTATTTTAAAATTTAAAAAAAAATGTTAATAGTAATGGCATCATACTTAACTAATGAGTGACATTTATTTTACCGAAGATTTGTACACAATTTTGGGGAATATTAGGAATGTAAATATTGAGATTTATTACGTTTTCATCTAGCAACACTATGTGTTACTCCACGTAATTTGATTGTAAAAAAATGTTTAGCGCAGAACAACTTTATTAAATGTATTATCTAATATCCAGGCTCTCTAGTTTATACTATTTTTGAATTTATAGCATAGATAATAAATATATGGATAGCCATGACTATTTTATAAAAGAGCAAAAAAATATTATCTATTAGTTTCTCCTCTGTATTCATGTATAGATTAATGTAACTATTAATGCAATTGTTGTCCAATTATCATTAGACTAAAATCAAGTCTTTAAATTCAAATTTTAACTCGAAATCGTATTTCTTGTCATGTTTTTTTTCTTTTAAAACATTCATCATTTGTTCATTTTCAGTTTAGAATCTGTAAAACTAACATTAGTACTTGAATTTAATATTTTTTCTAGCTTCAAGTGGAAATTGTTGAATATTTCAATAAAAACTCAATAAAGTTAAATTTCAAACCCAAAATAATTAATAAAAGTATTTGTGTCAACTTTTTTCCTATTTTAACTCAAGATTTTCTAATTTTTATAAGTTTAAATTTTACAATGTGTTCTATTCATTTATGTCCTAAGAAAATTAATAGGTACCTCAGATAAATAATTTAGTACATATATATATATATATATATATATATATATACTTATACATTTATACATACCGTACTTATAAAGTATTACATTTCAATAACACGGATATTTGAGTATACGGACCATCTTTGACATTCATTAGTTGAGATAATAGGAATTACTAAAAGAGTATTATGTCAATACCTATGACATTATTAATTATTATGCTACTAAACTACTATGCTAGATATATAGTTATAAAGGGTTTTTTGAATCCATTTTTTAGGATCAATCACGATTGTAATATAAGTTGTATATAAAAGTGATAGAGCGTATCTACAACCGTGGTATCAGTATAGAAATATATGGTTTCAACCACAGTTCAAGATATTGTTTACAAACGTGTGTGGTATGAACCAAAACTTTGGCCAACCATGGCGTATGATATTGGCTAGTCATTTTTCTTTTATAAAATCACTGATAATAATATTATTTTTTTATATTGGTTTATGTATTTGTACCCACGAGGTTTACTAACCCGTAGGTTGAGGTTTAAAACGTATTGTCGCTTGATTAATTTCACATACGGAAACCACGCGGCTCAGTTTGTTCGCCTAAAGTCTTTTTTTTTTTTGTTCGTTACATTGCATTCTCCATCAATTGTTCGCTAATCGTGAGCCGTTGCAAGTGTGAACCTTTGTACACAAATTGAAGTACATCCGACAGTAGGTATGTCAATTTTATAAATATTTAGAAACAGTTATTTAGTAAAAGTTGGTTGTTCAAACCCATTTTTCTTAAATTTAGGCTCTAGTTTTCGATCAGATTTTCAATTCTTTTGTTTTTAAGATTCCTTAAAAAATGTTCACAACTATTTTATTAAGCAATTTTTAAATTTATCCTCGCCATTAATCATATTTCATAACTGTTGCCGGTTGACGTCTGGCTCTTAGGGTAAAATATAAAAATTTAAAATATCGAAAAACACCAAATTTAAATATTTTTTATGCTTTCCATCTTACCAATATTTAGTAATTAAATTTTCGGTTTTCCCATTTCCCGCAGAGATATAGCTTTAATAGTGCGCGTTTGCGGTCTTGGAAAAATGTTGATCTCTGGAGAAAATCTGCCTTCTCAAGTCAATAAAGAAGTCAAAGTATTGAAACATCATATATGTATTTTATATTTTCCTTTCTTACCTTATCAACGTTCTTTAGTTAGAATTAACAATCCAATTTCCTGTAAAAATATACAAGATTTTAACACTTCCACTCATTATCTACTCAAAAGCCATATCGTTGAAAAGGATTAAAAACTTTAAATTTCAAAATTCTAACTGTTAGTAGTTTTATTAGGGTACTATACTAATAGAAAACTACTATTCTTGCCTCTGAAGTTTAAAAAATTATACTAACAATACTAAATTGGTCTTACCGGACACAAATTTTCCATGTTGTGTTATGTTTCTAAGCATAAATGACACATCATGCATGTGAGATAAAATTGAAATGTTTTGACCATCAAAAAAAATTAGACGTTTTATCTTTAACTTTGTGACATTCAGTTCTTGGAATGTATAGGTAACCATAGGGCGTTTTAGTTCTACAGTATTTGGGATAGAAAGCAAGTACCTACGTAAATGGTAGTTGTAGTTATAAAAAGGTACTAAAACATAGTCAAACAATAGTTTTATACATTTCTAATAATTTATGAAAACCATATTCTTAACCATGCACTATTTCGTTCTATTCTAGATTCATAGAACACAAATTACTGATTTAATGATTGGGTTCAAGCTTTAAGACCCTTATATTCATCATTCGTGCTCAAAATATGCGTAAATGTTCACTGTTTGATTTTTTTTTTAGATAATATAAGTTAGGTATATTAATAATGAATATAATATTATTAGGTACCTATTTTTGTTTATTTTTAATTTTTTGAAAATATGATAGACAACTCTTAAATGTATAATATTAGATCAGTTTAAAATAGTTAGATACCATTAATCATATGCAAAATAGAAAATACATTATTAACCAATTGATTGTTTCTTTCCAGCACACTATTGGCTATACTTTATGATCTAAAATTTAGTAAAATTTTACTTCAGTCAATATTACTATTGATGATTAACCAATTGTGTTTTATTTATTTATATCATTGTGTGCTAGCACTTAAACTTTTATTAAAAAAAAAATTTTAATTTTAATTTTTTTTTTTTTACATTTTCATAGATAGCTATCATTTTCAATCATGAGTGGAGGAGGTATGTGTTATCGATGTAACCGTTCTGGACATTTCGCCAGGAATTGCAGGGAATCTGGATCTGTAAATAGTGCTACATTCAGTCGTAGTGGTCGTGGTGGCAATGACCGTGATACAAATTGTTATAAGTGCAACCGCAGTGGTCACATTGCCCGTGATTGCAAGGACCAGGACAGATGTTACAGATGTGATGGTGTTGGTCATATAGCTCGTGACTGTTCTCAATCTTTTAGTGACCCATCGTGTTACAATTGCCGTAAAACAGGACATTTGGCTCGTGATTGTCCAGATGAACGTGCAGAGCGTGGATCAGGTGGTGGTGGATATGGAAGTGCTGGTAGTAACTCTACTTGTTACAACTGTAACAAGATTGGTCATTTTTCACGAGACTGCTCGGAAGGCAGAAATGATTATGGAAACTATTCGTCTCATTGTCGTAATTGTAATGGTTCAGGACATATGGCTCGTGATTGCCCAGAGGGTAACAAACAAAACTGTTACAACTGTGGTGAACTGGGTCATTTGAGCCGTGAATGCAGGCAACGTAACTAGTTCCAGAGATTTGCCATTTAATCTAATTATCCTATATTTTCAAAATTATATAAAAAAAAAAAAATCATAAAACAATATTTATTTTGCTAAAGTATTCTTTGATTGACAGCTATAGTATTTAAAAAAATTAAACAGTAGTAACATTATTTTTTTCTTTATAATAGCTATATATATATATATATATATATATATATGGCTATTATGTTTATATTAATGGTGACAATATGTTTTAATAACAAAGAAACACTTGGATATTAATAGGTACTATATAAACAAATTTATATAAATAGTCTTTATATCTTTTTATATATTTTTGTTGTTTATCTTTTTGTCAGTAAGTATGTTTTATATAAAACCAAATGTTTTATTCAATGTATAGGGATTTTAAATTTAAAATATACATATTTTTTAAATTAAATCATAGAACCATGTTAATGTTCTTTGAATTCAAAGAACATTAAGTTCAAACTTGTCTATAATATTAAAACAAAAAGTATTTTTACAAAGCGAATTATGATTATATTTTTTTTTTATCATTTATTACATGGTTCATTCAATTATATTCATATTATTATCTTTATTTTTTTTTTTTATTACTTACTATGCAGCTGTGTTTAATAATGTATGTTTTATCCATGATTTAACTTATTAAAGTATTCTGAATAAATATTTTTTATGTTTTTGTATCCTATTTGTTTGTTTTCTTAATTCAAATGTGTCTTGAATTTTTAAGAAGTTTTAGACATTATATTAGTATTTAAAATACCCATCTATTAATAAGTTTATTAGTTATTGTATTATAATAGTAAAATTCCTACTGGTGGTATTGTTTGAAATTGGATTTTGAAATAAATAATGGCAAAAATTATCTAAATTCTACATGGCTTAAAATCGAATTTAAATAACATAATGTTTAATACTAAAATAAATCAATAACAAAAATGGTTTTTAAGAATGTGCATGTTATATTATTTTATTGGGCATTTAAAGCATTAATTTAACAAATAAATGTATAATCATTATGAAATTGTCCAAAAGTAATAAATTAACATACATAGTTAGTTTATTAAGTTACAAAATATAAAACATGATTATTTTCAGAAATGTTTATGATCAAATGAAATTGATTGTTTGAATTTATCATAATTAAGTAGGATGATTTTGTTTTATTGACTGTAATTAATGATATTTCCTACAATTTATTGTTAGTTTTATTTGGTGTTTCAGTCGAAACAGGATAATTTTAAAGGTTCACAAAGAAGACACCAATATTTATAATATTAAATATTTAAAAAAGTGACAAACACATATTATGTTATTTTTTGTTAAGTACCTACTTGAAATTATATCCTTTACTTAACCTAACCTAACTTAATAGTGTATTACAAATTGGGTGGTTGGATTAAGTAATTTAGAAGCCAATAACATTAAATTTTAATTTATATGTTCAACAAAGGTTTCTCTGTGAACTGAATGTATTATTGTTTACAAAAAAATGGTTATATTATATATCCTAACAATATTAATTAAATATTATGTTGAAATGTAAGAATATATATTTTCTGGTGACATTTGGGATAGGCAACAAGTCATTGTGTTCAGAAATATTTTTTTGTTCTAAAGTAATATTAAGTTTGAATTAAGGTTTTATGTGTAACATTTAATTTGTATTTTAGAAAAATTATAACGCTTTATTGGATATCTACTCTATAATAATTTATTTAAAATATTAACATCAGTTTAGCTTTTGTTTGTAAATTATAATATGTAAAATATGATAGTTTATTGGTACATAACAATTCTATAAGACTGTTCATAATTTAAATTTAATAAATTATATTTTTTTTTTCAATTATCTAGTAGATATGCCCCTCAAAACAGTATTTTTTTGAAGGATTCTTCTTGATAATGTACAAATGTGGCTATTTCCAACATTTTCCTGCGATTTCTCTGAATTTCTTCACTGAAAAATTATTATAATTTGTATTTATTAGTTATAATTTGATAATATTATTTCTACTCACTTAATATTGATAGGTAAGGTTATAAAAGAATTATTTAAAAATTAATGACAAACATAAATTATTCTAGTAGTAGGTTAAAAAATATTATACAAATTTACTTCTTCAAATTTTTAAACAAGTCTGTCAGCCATTTCGATGCTCTTTTGATTATGTAACATCCTGCATGGTTTACCTGCAAAGCTTGTGATTCCATGCATTCAGAAATGTCATTAGTAATTTGAGACACTTTATGTGACCTGTTATGTATCTGAAATATAAAATGATAGAAAATATTTGTTTCAGCTAGAACCCAGACTTTATTTTCTTAAAATATCTTCCAAATACGATGCTTAAATTCTTTTAACATCAAAATATCAGTATTATGCAAAACACAATGTAGCTTTTAAATTCTTGATACTTTGAATTTTGAATCCATCATATTCAATAAAATTACAGTTTTACATAACAAATCTACCCTCTACTTATTTGATAGGCAAATGATGGTTAAAATTGAATTTAATTAAATGTGCACATGAATCAAGCCTAATAACTAGATGTGAATGCCAATTTGACTAAGATTAATATTGTGTCACATGTGTCTCGTAGTAACAACTGATAATATATATTATAACCATTAAATATATAAACAAAACAACTTCGTTTTGTTTTATATATCTACCTATATTATAAATATATAGGTACGTAAAGTGCCTATATTAAGTTCCTATTGTTATATATATTACTAACATCATCGCTTTGGGCCGAGGACACGGCGTATTCTAAGATGAACTGCAGGAATATGCTTTGTTGTCTCTGCAAAATGATGAATCTGTTATCGACTAACTGTTTAAACTCGGTCATATATTTTTCGAAAACGTCCCGCAATTCACCGATCATTTTCTATAATCAATTAATGTCAATATTATTGATATATATCTACCTATACAAAGTGATCAATTTTAGAGAGACGCTCATTATCTGGGAAAGTATTGACTTTTTTCGAAATTTGTTTTTTAGGACATTAAAGAAACAAGTAGGTAGCTCTAAAAATGTAATTATATCACCGTTATTTTTTGTCATCATTTTCCGGGCATGAAATGACTAAATGAGCAATATAAGTTCAACAATAGTTTGATAAGAACGGTTTTATATGACAACAACATGTATACGTTAATTAAACGTAATATGAGCACCAGATGGAGAAAGATAACTCACAAACATTTTTACTAATGTTGAATAACAGACATGGGATGTACGTTGTGTGAGCTAAACAAAGCAGTTCACCGGCGCTAATTTACACCTACCATTAGAAATTAAATAATATTGCTAGCAAATTCTAGCTATTACTTATTGTAATAATAGCGGCTAATAATATTTTATTATTTCTGTTTTCAAATGGCCACAGAACTATATTGCATAAATATTTATTACGATTTTATAAAAATTTCCTTCGTTACATAATTGGACACCAAGGTCAACTGGTATAACGTATTCACGGCAGAGTATTAATCGGTTTTTCTAAAATTCGAATGCGTTCCGGTAGGACTGCACGCTTTAAACTACTATGCAATTAAATCTCATAATATTTCCTAAAATAGTCATTTTTATGAAAAATTGTACAAAAGTTATCTACTCCACTTAATCGACCACCGAAATACAAGATTTTTAGAACAGGTGTAATCACTGTTTTCACGGCAGAATATTGATTAAATTTTTAGTGCGTTCCGAATTTTTCATAAGAATTACTTTTTTAAGACATGTTATGAGATTTAATTTCATAGTAGTTTAAAGTGTGAAGTTTTTCCGGTACGCATTCTAATCTTAGAAAAACCAATCAATACTCTGCCGTAAAAACTGTTATTATACCTATTCATTTCACGCACATATTATTTTAGAAAGAAAACAACGACCAGCTTTTGATTTTCAAACAGTAACTTATATTAAAAATTCGATAACTATATAGATTATTAGTTTAAATACACCAAATAAAAAAAATAACCACAAGAATAATTAAGTTACAATTTCGAAAAGGAATTAGTATTGTATTAGTAATAAAATTACAAAAAAAAAGTAATTTCCTGAAAAAAAATGTAATCATAATACAATATTATATCATGACATACATCAATATTCTCCGAGATTTGCATAGTTTCGCATTGGCATCACATTAGATTTTTCTTCTTCTGCTTTTAATTACGAAGGTACGAAATTCCTTCAACAAAACTCTTGCTCATAAAAGTACAATTCGTAAATAGTATCTATACTTCTATTGGTGGTGAATTTGGTTTTATCAAGAAATCTCTGAATGTTATTAATTAAACAAAAGAAATGAAACAAAAAACCGACATACTTCACATATGGGCCACCGTTGTAAGTAAGAAGTTGAGAAGGTAGAGGGGGAATTCAATGTATATCTGTAGATACGCAACACTTAATCATTTTGAACGATAAACAATTCTGAGCAGAATTCAGTTAATAGTGTTGCTTTGTCAATGATATATGTTACATTATGGTAAAATAATTGTATATGCATTATATATTTTCTTTAATATTATTAGTTTAATATTGTATCTATTTTCCTGGTTTTTCCTATTTATTGGAAAAGCAAAAAGTCACCTCCCTAAAGTACCTTCCCAGTTAGATTTTTTTCAGGAAAAAGCGCTTTCAACAAAATTGCCGGTAGAAAAGTTGTCCACAAAAAAAAAAATAAACATCATTGTAAAACCAATACATTCCTCGCTCCACTCAAAATCGAAAATGATAAACATTCAATTTGTGGATTGATAATGGACGAAAAGTATAAAAAAGAAAATGTTTCTAATAATGACAAAAGTTTTCTAGGGTATGTAAACTTTCTACAGGCATTGATGGGAATAACAGTCTTCCTAGAGATATTCAGGCACTATAGTATTCATGTTTGTAGCAATAAACTCTTGCTGGAAAATTCCGAGTGCATATATTTTAATAAAACTATCATTGGAATAATTATTGATTGCTACTTTAAATCGATATTCGGGGTAAAGTATAGTCTATCTTTCTTATTCTATAATCAAACTGGTTTTCTCTCTTTAGGCGCAATCTATTTCTTAATATGTTTATGTTTATTCTCGAATGTTCTCAATCTTATCTTTGTTCCCTCACCCCTTATATAATAGATATAATGTATATTAAAATACAGACTGTTATTTCCTGGGACAATATATCCTCGTGGCTCATAAGTGTTAACCACACTGTTCGCGTCCTGTTGTTGAATTCCTTGACTACTTTTTTGGATGTCGTTTTTACACCGCCAAACGAGTCGTCGCATTTTAATAGATTTTTGTACTCTATATACTTCGAAACACACCTGCGAAGCGACAATTAATTTTAATATTATATAATAACATTATTATAGTAAGGCTATGATAATTATTTGATACTATTGGAAAGAAATTTGATGAAATACATCAAATTCAACCTATTATCTAAGAATAAATAAGATTATATGGAAAAAATGAGGAATGATTTTAAGGTATTAAAATACAAATTAGAAACCTAAAAATTAACGTTCCAGAATTTCAATTTCCACGAGCTTATTCTAATAGTGTAAATGAAGGGAGGGCGATGGGTGGATCGCTCCATCCCTTGGAATTTTATTTCAATTTTTAAACCAATCCGGACGGGGGGGGGGGGCTTTGCTTGAGCTCCAGTTACGTCACTGGTTTTTGTATATTATTATAATGGTCGATAAGTATTTTGAAATTAATTTATTTGAAATATTTGAACTTATGCAAGTGTATTAGTTATAAGTTGGAATTAATATGGTATGTTTAGCCGTATGAAAAATATTTTAAAATGTCAGAACGCTAATTTTTTTGGAGTACATCACTTAAGCATATTTTTGTACGCTGTTCTGACTTTCTAGACTGCTCCACTCCGTCGCCGATTAATCGTTGCAGTTTGCTGTGGAATTCCGAGACAAGACGCACGCGCGTCTCTCGACAAGTTTCCGCGGCTGCCGTTATCTCTCCCGTCAGCCGTCTAAAGTTGTCTGCGTACCTATTGCAGAACGAAATAATGGAGTAGATAAAAATAAGCAGTACGATGACATAGCGACAAACGAATTTATTGGTTTCGTCGTAGGGAGGAAATGTGTACAAATAACAGTGTTACGAAAAATTGCAAATTCCTTACGAAATAAATTGTGACCAATATTTGGTACGTAGTTAAATTCTTATATGCGGACAACTAAATTATTGAGAGATCTTCGTTCAAATTAAGGATTTTTTTAAAAAGTTGAAATAATTCAAGAGGTACAACAATATGAATACTTTAGATTCGGAAGGTAGTGAGGGATATTATGTTGATTTTACTATGATATGTGGATTTTTTTATCTATCTGTGAACAACTTTTTTTACAGAAAAATTTCCCCAATATGTAGAGAGACGTACCTTTTCCGAATGGTCATTTTCTCTAGTTGATGCATTAGGAATACATTTTAGATTTTCTAAGGGGTTTTCAAAAGTATTGGGAAAAACACAAAAGAAAATTATAGGTAAAATTGCAAATATTTACGGTGAACTGCAGCGTTACCGATTTAATTGTTTTTCATTTTGCAACACATATTTTCTACCAGAAATATTGCTATTAGCTATTTTTAATGAAAATCGTTTTTTGATATCCAAAGTAGTTTTTATATTAATTGGGATAAAACCAAAAAATTAGAATCGATTAATATTTACGGCACCGTGGTACATAGTGGGATGAAATCAACATTTATCTGGCCTAAAGTCTCATTTTAAAACTCAAAAAATCATACATTTGATTGATAATTATTTTTTATGAGAATATTACGTGGATAAATTTAAAATTTGAAATCAATTAGTTGATTATCAAGTAAGATAGAGCGGTTTGATTATAAATGTTTACATTTTTATTGAAGAATTCAAATTTTTACGTTGAAATGTTAGTTAATTTTTTTCTTAATTAAATTTGTCTTCTTTAGAATTTACATTATTATTATATTGTCTAACAATTGCGATAAAAAATATTCTTTCCCTTCCTATGTATAGTAATTCAACATTTACACGAAAAACCCAATTTTTTCATTACTTTTCCGCTTTTAAAATGTATTAGTAAAAATTACGCAGGTTTATGCAATTTTGAATACATGTATGATGTAGCTCAAGTTTTCAACAATAATTTAAAAAAAAAATTTTGTCAGATCACTCTAATCATGTTATACGTATTTTAGATACTGAGTGGAGCGAGAAAATGTATGAAATGTATTGGTAAAACACTACAGTTTTTTCTATGGAAAACTTTTTTACCAGCAATTTTGCTTCGATTTAAAATAATAGCATTTTTTCTAAAGGAAAATCTGATTGAGGAGGTACTTTAGGGGTTTTTTTGATATTCTAAGGAGTTTTCCTAATTAATGAGAAAAAACGAGAGAACGGAAAAATAGGTACAATATTAAATAAATTGTTAATGTAAATGTTTAATGCATACTTGTATGTAATTATTTTACCATAATATGCGACATATGTATATATTGTTGAAAAAGGAACATTATCAATCAAACTTTGCTCAGATTCGATTTTTAGTTAGAACATTTTCGTTTATATCCTATCGACTCAACTGTCCACCTACAACAATGGCTAAACCCGTCCTCATTATCCTATGACAGTTTTTTTTAAACTATTATTATACTATAGCTTTAGTTTTTTTAAATTTTTCAAAAATTTATTCTGTTTTATACTTTCATAAGTTCCTCACACAAAAATTAAAACTAACTTATTTTTTTTTACCTATGTAATCAATACTAGGCATTTTGAATTATGAAACTCTTGGAAAATAAAAAACAGAGGGTAAAAATAAATGATGTTATTATTCTAGTGAACATAATCAATAAATGTGGTATACCACAAGGTATAACATTATATCTCTGATTATTTTTAATATTCATTACTTAAGTTAAAAGAGGAAAATAGACGATATTTTCTTAATCTGTATTGGTAGCACATGGAATGAAGTAATTCAAAATATCGAGGTCGGTCTAAAATGTATTTATAATTGATAAAGCGATAATAGTCTATTCCTAAATTTCAATAAATCGACCATTTTATTTCACACACTGTCTGAATAGACATAACCAGTTACCACCAATAGTCATACATTATACAAAAATCCATGAAGCAACTATTACAATACAATAAACTACTGTGATTGTAATTCCGTTAGCATTACCAAAATCTATAAGTTCGAATTATGCTATCATACGAAATGGATAAACCAGATTACAGCCGTCTCAAATAAATTAAAGAAGATGATTTATATAATGAAAGAACTACGTGAGATATTACTTTTCAGAGTCATAAGAACTATATATCTAACATTATTTGAATCTATAATGTATTACCACTGGCTCCAATATGAATATAATGTGACTAAAACTAAATATATGTACCATATTTAATAACACTTACAATTTGAATTTTAAAATTATTATTATTTTATTAAGCGATTTCTTTATATTATGTGTATCTATATATTTTTATTAATTTTTGATTTTAATTGTCTCTTTATAATTTATATAGTGTAATTTGTTTATTGTTTATTATTATTAATTAACCGCGTAACAAGTATATATTATTATTCCTCTGATAATAAATAAAACTTGAGTAGCACGTTTAATGATAATTTTTCAGTATTAAAAAAAAATTAACTGATCGCGAATACTTAAAAATAGTTTTAGGGTCCCAGACTTATCTCATCATCGGGGCCCCAAGATCCTAGTTATGCCACCGTTTACTAAACTATTATGACTATTGTATTATTATAAAAACCTGTATGATTTAATTTTAAACTTAATGTACCTGCATTAGATAAGATATAAGAAATAGTTTATCACTTGACGTAAAGATAAGGACCACTAAAATTTAATATTTGAGTATAGTGAACAATCTGTTCTATATATGATTTTTAATCATTCTTAGCCTATTATAGACGTTAAATCGTCAGTAAGTATTTAAACTAATCCAATATTACAATAAATATTGAATATTTTGAAGAATATTTTTTAAAATCAACAAACTTGTTTGTAAAGTTGCAACTGTACCTACATGTATCCGTAGTATTACTTGCCTGCTAGTGTGCATAAAGTGTTAATTCACGGTATGGATTTTATATGATTTGTACCAGTCCCTACAGGTAGGTTAATTGTAAAACATAGAAAATAATAATTTATATTTAATAAATATATATTAAAATACTGTATATTAGGTAAACTATCTGAAGAAGCGCGGAAAGTAGAAACAGACTTTAGATTATACAGAGTGATTTTTTTATCATGAACCAGTAATTATCTTAGAGGATTTTAAGTGAATTTTGTTTTAATCATTATGAAATTGTTTAAACTTTATATCGAAAACATTAAACATGTTTAACCCCTACTCCATTATGTTAAATAAGTGTATACTTTTGTTTTTCAAATAGAAACCCTCTTTTTGAACACAGATTCGAATAGAGTCTATTTTTCTAAAAAATTTTATATGCCTAACACTAATAACAGATTTAATGTTTATAATATATAATCGTTTAAAATTTAGATCGCGGAGGAGTAGGAAAGAGTTATCAATTTGTAATTTAAAAATAGATTTGTAATTTATTATCTTTCCTTATTCCTCCCGTCTAAATTCTGTATTAGCCAATATAATAAGTGTGCATTTTGAAGAAAAAAATTCAACTAAAATTTTTTAGACTGGAGAAATTAATTAACATTTTTAGCATATAAATTAAAATTATTCAATAAAAAGTAAACATTTCTAACCAAACCACTCTATCTTACTTGATAATTAACTAATTGATCTCAAATTTTTTATAGTTTGACAAAATATCCCCCCAAAAAAATAATCATCAATCCAATGTGGGATTTTTGCGTTTTAAAAATAGGACTTTTGGACAGATAAATTTTCGGTCAAATTGTTTTAAACTTTTTAAACGATATTTTCTACAAAAAATATTGCTCCCATAGAGAAATGAAAAAAGACCTTTTTTATTGAATTCTTAATCTTGTTCATGAGTAATTCTTTTTTGATTTTCTCTTTTAATTTATAAACAATTAGAAAAAACAGCACAAAAAAACGTAAAATGAAAATTGATAAGTTTACGAAGTTACGATTTAGTTATATAAAATTTTGACGCTTTTCATCTTCGTCAGAAATATTGTTTTAATAAAAAATAACAAAAGATCTCTTTTGTTAAATTTTAATCTAGTTAGTGATCAAGAAAGTTGTTTTTTGATTTTTTTTATAATTTTTTTAATAATTGAGCAAAACTTAAAAATACGTAGAGAAAACGGGAAAATTTAAGGAACTAATCCTTTCATTATTTTATATTTTGTTTTTTTGTTGTAATTCAGTTAAAAATATTCATTAAGATTTAAAAAATTGTCAGAAAACTTGTATTTACTTTCTATAGCTTTTCTAGAAAAAGTTTACTTCATGTAAACTTCCCAAAAAATGTAAGCCATTTATTTGAGCTATGTATATACGTTTTAATTTTGCAATTTTTTTTTGAAATTTGGAATTTTAATTTCAAATTTTGACGAAAATTGTAAACATAACGGCATTTCAAAACATGTCAAACTGAACTTCGCTCCGAATTATATTTTTAGTTTTTTATTAGTAATGGTTTATTGTTCCTTAAAGATATAAATTAAATAACTTAATGTATCCTGTATTCTCAATTTTTCACTTATAACAATGACACGTTCATCATCAGTATCATTACTTCTTTGAAAACAATATAGGAAAAATGGAAAATATTTACGGTTTGTCGTGGTGTTACCAATTTCATTGTTTTTAATTTTTACGCACCATACATATTCTTTTAATTAAAAAATGCCAGGTTTTTCGTTCTATTTTGAATAGTTATTGATGAAGCAAGTTATTTTTTTATTTTTAAGGAATTGACCTAAAAAACCTGACAAAAGTGTAGGAGTTTTTAAGATTTAACATTTTTGTAATTTGTATTTTCTCTTAGAAATCTTGCTATAATCAAAAATGAAAATATACTACTTTGGTTGCATTTTGAATTTAGTTTCTCTGGATAAAAGTCAGTATTTGATTTTTCAAGTAGTTTTCCTGATAATTGGGAATAATCAAAAAAAGTCGAAAAATGAAAACTAATAATGTTCATTATTAGTTTTCATTATTTTGAGTTTTTAAACATTATGTTTTCTACTAGAAATATATTGCGCCAATAGAAAAATGGCGACTGGCAAGAGACCTTTTTTGGTTCATTTTTATTTTTAATCTAGCTAGTAAGTAAGAATATCGTTTATTTGATTATCTGTAAGGTATTCTTAATAATAGATCAAAACTGAAAAAAAAAACGTAGAAAAAACGGGGAAATTTATGGAAATAATGGGTTCATAATTTTTAATTTTGTTTTTGGTGTAATTCAGTTTTAATTTTGTGAATTTTGTACGTAGTTTTTATTTAACAGATACTATATGGATTGTGGATATAATTGTTTGACTAAACAAAAAGGCTTGAACATTTAACAGGAGGTTTATTATAAGTTGTACTCAATAGTTAAAAAGTAAGTAAGTGTAGTTTAATAATTTTTTTTTTGTTATGGTTTTAAGAATAAATTTTGATGAAAATCGTAAATATATTACGGCCTTTCAAACGATGTATAAACGAACTTAGCTCAGAATCGTTTTTGTTTTTATTAAAAAATTAATTTTCTTTTCAGACTCGTGTTAATTAGTTAAATGATTGTATAGAAATTAAAAATACCCATACATTATTGTTTTGTATCCAGCCAAAACTATTGCATATTAGGTTTACAACTTCAACTAGTCAGATCGAAGATTTCAAAAGCTTTAAACATTCTCTAGATTGAATATGATTGTGATAAAAAAAAAAAAAAAAATGAAACGTAACCTATGATATGACACTTAGCGGATCTTGATGAATATTTTGACGTAACTTCTATGAAAATCGATCGAAGTATAGCACCTTTTCTGAAAGTAAATGTTCTCTGGATGGTATTTTAGGGAGGTCATTTTTTTAAATTATCATTAACATTAGAGATAATTAGGAAAACCTCGATCTTTAGTTTAAAAAAAATTGAAAGATTAAAAATAAGGTTGTTGGCGACCGTTTTTATTTATTTTTCGTTATTAAGTATTTATTATTTTAGTTTTTTTTAAACGATCAGTGTTGTCATGGAAACGCACATTATTCTATTCATTTTACCATAATATGATGTATACCATACATTGTATTGTTGACAAAGCAACACTATCAACTGAACTCAGCTCAGAATAGTTTTTTCGTTAGCAATGATTTATAGTTGCTTATATAAATTATTGCTTATATAAAATTGTTAGATATAAATTAAATTCCTGTCTGTATCTTATCTGTCCAACTTCCCACCTATAATAGTGACAGCACTCACGTGCGAAGTATGCCCGTCTTTTTTTTTTGTAAGTAATATTGCTTTTATGATTAGTTTTATATTCTATAATCTTATATGCTGAAGATTTTATTGTACTTACACTCTGTAAGCATTATGAAACCCATAACGACTGTTATCAGCCAGCACTTGTTCCACTGTTCGGTTCCGAAAAACGGTCACGTTGAAATCCGCGTCCTTGTCGCCTTCCGGTATATGGTCCACAAACGCGTCACACCTGTTGGCGATCCGCACCGATTGCGAACGTACGTCTTCCAACAACCGTTTTCTTTTTTGGTCGTTCTTCTCTACAACTGTGATAAGTTTGCTGAAAATCATCCCGCGAAAAACTCAAATATTAATAATATTTTTCTTTATAAGAGTTTTAAAATCAAATTTTGATGTAAATTATAAATATTACAGCCTTTCAAAACATGTTTAACCGAACTTTACTCCTAATCGTTTTTTGTTATCAATGGTTTATCATTGGTTACAGGTATAACCTAAATAACTTTATGTATCCCACCTTCTCCTGTATGACTGTACCCAATTATAACAGTAGAACCCATCTCCGGAATCAGCTCTTTTTTTTTAGTTTATGTACACATTTTCTACCAGAAATAGTGTACCAATCAAAAAATTACCAGATACCTTTTTGTCACATTTTAGATTTAATAAGTTTATTGAGGAGGTAATTTTTTGATTTTCAAAGAATTTTTTATAATAATTGAGAAAAATCAGAAAAAAACAAAAGAAAACAGAGAAAACGGGATTAACAGTTTAATTATTTTCATTATTGTGTTTTGGTTAATTAATCGTAAATAAATGTTTGTGAGATTTTTATTGAATTGTTGTATAAGACTTTTCTAAACGTAGTAAAATATTTCAAAACATTTATCAATTTAATATGTTTTAGATTCTGAGCGGAGCGAGGAATGTATTGGTTTTACAATTCATGATGTTTATTTTTTTATTATTATTTTCCTGTGGACAATTTACTATTCTACCAATTTAGCAATTTTGCTCCGATTTTCAATGATATCTCTATTTCTGGAGGAAAATCGGACTATTTAACTACTTTAGAGAGACCATTTTTTGATTTTTTCAGGAGTTTTACAAATAAATGTGAAACATGTAGGAAAAACGGGAAAATAGGTACAATATTAAACAAATATTATTAAAGAAAATACATAATGCATTTTATGTAATTATTTTACCATATTATAACACATATGTTGTTGACAAAGCAAAACTATCAACCAAATTTCGTTTAGAATCGCTTTTCATTTTCAATGGTTTATTGTATCACACCTTTCCAATTTCCCAGAACAGTTCCACTCATCCATCCACAATATCAGTTATTTTTTAACTCGAAAATCATAGATACACAAGATAATATAGTCTTATAGTTGACTGAATTTAGTTATTTTTAAAGATGCTTAAAAAATAAAGTTTATTTACCTTGTATTCGTATCAAATAAAAAAAAAAAAAGAGTCGATACTACTGAGGGGTTGTACAATTGTTTTAAATGGAAATTTAGAAGGTAGGATAAATAAAGTATTAAAGTTACTTAATTTAGATCTATATGCAACGCTAAATTTGTTATTTCCTCAGTTTAGTAATTACCAGTTATTTTCTAGTTATATATATGTATATTTTTTGAATACTAAATGTATAATTTCCGTCACGAATTTCCTACTTTTTGCGTTTGGCATCTTTCTTTTATTTTACTTACCTGGCGCGCGTAATGTCTGCACCGGTGTCCACGATTTCCGGGTGCTTATTATTAAATTCCCTATTTTTTGGTAATATACGATCGACGATCCGAGCGCTCCGTGATCCGTATATCCCAATCACCCCACAGGTGACCACTAGGGCCACGGGCGTAAACATGGAATTACGCCTTTGTGCAGGTACCCATAATCCCGGTTGTAATATACGTGCTTGGTAAGCACGTAGCCCTGTGTAGATCTCTTTCATTTTTTTAAAAATCGATACAAATTGAAAACCCGTGTTCCACATGTGCCCGAAAAGATATAGGTATCCTTTTTAAGTCAAGTTAGAGTTGTTAATTGTAGGTATCAAAAACCGCGCCAAACAACGCAAATTCTATCCTTCCTAAATTTTTTCTCCCAGTATGAATAGAATATATTGAAGTTAATAGTTATGTAATATTTAAAAAATGTATATTGAGTGTAAGTCGCTAGACAAGTCTCCAAGCCCTAATGTCACGATAAAAAAAAAAAAAAATGTAACACCCCGCACAGGTGCATTTTTTTTTTGTTATGCTCTATTCCTATTTCTCCGTTTTTCGGTGCCGTTTTTCACCGAGACACCGAGGAAATGAAGGAATTCCTGTATGCTCCAACCCTCAGGTCTCGGTTATAGGTTGGCGACCTTGATTAATTTGTTTTTTTACATATTTATAAAATATATATTTTATAATTTATTTTAGGTAAGTCGCCACATGGTGCTTACCATCTGTCAAGGCCCCGTCAAGTAACGGATGGCAAGACGTCACGATTTTACGATTTTCGTCAAAATTTAAAATTATTAATCCTTATAAAATAATTATTATATTAAACTCAACTTTTTTTTTTACCATTAATTACAAATTATAATAAACTTTATTTAAAATTGTCAAGTATTTCTAATAGGCCAAACAAATATTTTTCACAAAATTAAAAAAAAAGATTGAAAAAAAATTAAAATGCAAAATGGCTATAAGTAGTTTAAAAATCGACATAAAAGGCTAATGTTTTCTGGGAAAATTTAAGTTCCTCACGATTATTTTTAATTTGAAAATCATGTCTTGTTTATTTATAAAACCTTACGTACAAATTAATTGTGTAATCTGGAATTTGTGGTGTGGAAAAGTAAGTTTTTGGACCTCACTTGAAGGATTTCTAGTTGTTACTAATGTAGTGTAGTAATTCAATTGTCATTAGAGTGAAAATAGTATACTATATGCCAGGGGTGGCCAACAAGAAGAGTCTCGCGAGCCCCCTAATATATTAATAAATATGGAAGAGCCGAAATAAATAAAAATGTCATATTAATATATATTTATGTATATACGTATATGATTATCGTAAATAAGATAAGATAACAAATTTCGGAACAACATATTCTTGTGAGTCTTTATACTCGACATTTAAAATAATTAAAACTTAACATCGCTCAATTTTAATGGATGATAATTTAACGGAATTGTTTAGGACTGCTCTAACAACGTATAATCCTGACTTTAAAAAATATACAAAAAAAAAATAAATAAATAAATAAACACGTACAAAATAAGATATTAATTAATAATTAAAAATATTATAACAAAAACACCATATTTTTTTGTAAAAATGTTTTGGATCTTACGATAAGGTGCGAGCCGCATGAATCTATGACGAGAGCTGCATGCGGCTCAAAAGTCGCAGTTTGGCCATCCCTGCTATATACAGTAACACTGTTACTATTAGCTATATAGCTGAAATAAATGATATGTTTTAGATTTGCATAAAGTTTTTGCACATCACAGTGAACATCATGAGCATATCCAAGTGTTGTTTTTTTGGAGGGGGAGGGGGTGAGCTGACAGAGTTGTATTTTAATTTTTACTAGCCTAAAACTCCAGAATTCATCTTAATTTTATTTAAAATCATTATTTCCCAGGTATATCCCAACGTCCCCATAAATTCATTCTTGGCATATATGTGCAGATTTTATAGACATTTTAAACGCATTGTTTACGAACCTGTAGGTTTTGAGGGCTTCTCTTTTTTCTTCGGTCGTTACTGTTTTATTGTTGTATACCAACAACGATTGCAATATGGACACGACAAACGTTCGTTCGGAATCCGCCGGTTCCGTTCGGAATGGATTTCCTTCGACCGTCAACGACACGAGATTGGGAAATTGTTTCAAATATGTAGTCTGCGTCAGCGTGCAAAATTGATATACAAAAATATTATCGACAAACAATTTTACACGTAAAATTAATACGCAAGGCGTATCTGCAGGATTTGACAATTTCCTATAATATGCAATTACATAGGAAATTTTCAAATCACACTCTGTATGTATAATAAATATTATACATATAAAATTAAATAATTTAAATATTATTTATTATGCATTCGTACAAATTTTAAATCGTCTATTTCGCAATATCCTACGTCGAACATTTCCAACGAATTTTGTTGAGCATCCAAATTTTGTACGCTCCTCAACGGATTGTGATTCAAAATCAAGCGTCGCAGTTTTATCATCCCCTTAAAAATAATAAATTAAAACATTGTATATTCTGTTCGGTTTGTATAACATATAAAATAAAATATAATAAATTATAATACGAAATCAGACAGACAAATTATTTTCAATCCAAACAAGATATAATCAACGTTTCTACCAGAAATATTACTTCAATAGAAAAATAAAGTAAGATCTTTTCTGATGAATTTTGGATATTGGTGCTTACAAAGAGAATCATTTATTCAGATTTCAAGTAGGTTTCATAATAAATGGGAAAAACAGGGGAAGAAAAACGAGAAAATGTACGAAATATAAATATTAGTAAAAAAAATATTACGGCCTTCCTTTTACTTGTGAGCAACTTTTTTACCAGAAATTTTGTTCCGAATTACAATGATAGCACTTTTTCTGAATGGAAAACTGACTGGGGGTGGTACTTTAGGGAGGTCATTTTTCGTTTTCCCAAGAGTTTTCCCAATAAATAATACAATATTAAACAAAATACAGAATGCATATATAATTATTTTACCATAATGTGACATGTATATTGTTGATAAAGCAAAACTATTAACCGAACTCTGATTCCGAACTCTTTTTATTAGCAATGATTAATCGTCGCGTGCAGATATAAATTGAATTTCCCCACTATCTTCCTAACTTTTCACCTACAACAGTGACTCACCTACATGCGAAATATGTCCGTCTATTTTTTTATTGTTTTTTTTTTTTAATCTAGTTCGTGAATAAAAATGTCATTATTTGAGTTTCTTTGTAGTTTTTAGAATAATAGGACGTCTAGGATTCGGTGCAGTCACTGTTGTAGGTAATTTAATGTAGACCTATCCTGTAAGGAACGATAAAACATCGCTAATGACAAAACGATTCTGAGCGGAGTTCAGTTGATAATAATGATATATTTATATCTTTTTTTATTTGTTTAATGAACCGATTTCCCGTTTTCCTCTTTTTTTTTCAGTTTTTCTCATTTGCTGAAAATCAAAAAAATGACCTCTTTAAAGTACTTTCTTAGTCAGATTTCCTTTCATAAAAAGTTCTATTATTGTAAATCGGAGCAAAATTGCTTGTAGAAAAATTGTTCACAGAGAAAAAAGGCCAAAATATTTTTCAATAAATAGTTACATTTCGTACGTTTTTCCATTTTTCCTCCGTTTTTTCTTCGTTTTTCCTCCATTTTCCCCTGGTTATTCCCATTTTGAACAACCAAAAAATGATTTCGATAAAGTACCTTCTCAGTCAAATTTCGTCTCAGAAAAGATACTACACTTAAAAATCGGAGCAAAATCACAGGTAAAAAAGTTGTCCACAGGAAATAAAGTTTAAGAGCTTAACCATAAGATTCTTAAGTTCACTCACAATCTAAAATCGTAGAAAGAACGGGGAAATTTACTAAAATAATAATTCTGTTATTTTCAGTTCTGTTTTTTGTTGTTGTAAATCAATTAAAAATATTCGTAGAGATTCGAAATAAATAACTTATATTTACCTTTTTTTACATTTACATTGTAAATGTAGTACAATTTAAAAAAAATGTTTAGCAATTTTTGAGCTATTTATAGAAATTCTATGTTTATGATATTTGTACGTAGTTTTTATAGGTAGATACTACTTAAATATCATTGTTTGATTTAACAGAAATGATTGAAATCTTAACATGAGTTCATTATAATTTGTACTTAGTGGTAAAAATACAGATATAAGTTAATTAACTTTATGTATTATACCTTCCCAACTTCCCACATATAACAGTGACAAATTCGTTTCCGGTATTAGCTCTTTTTTTTAATTTAGCGTTAAGAATAATTTAATGATAATATCAACTAATTATTATTAACTATTATTATTAACTCGGAGTGTGTAAAATCGGATTTTACCTGTAAGTTTTCGATGCGTTTAATGTGATTATGAGACAGGTCCAATTCGACGAGATTCGTGAAGGACTCGAGATTGCTAATTGTATCGATTCGGTTTACTGACAGTTTTAAGGAAGTGAGATTGCATGAAGATATCAAACTCAAGTTGGTTATATGTAGTATTTCTGTACATAAATGGACAGCATTAAAAACAAAATATAGGTATGAAGTAACTATGTACAAAGTGGCGTGGTTGAGGTGGGTGGATCGCCTCCTCCTCCCTTGTCATTTTTTGGTGGTGTATTTATCACGGATAATAAAATTTAACTTTACATTAAATCATAATATGTCAAACTTCTGTTACGGGTTATTCGGACAAAGCCTTTTAATGGGAAGATGTATAAGTGCATTTAGGCTTACAAATGATTTTTATTAGAATTTAAACAAAACACGGTTGACATATTATATTTATAAGTGAAAACCGTACGACACCAGACCCGGGTCAAGACTTACAACCATTATCAGATGTAAGTACACTAAAGAAATGATTGAACGGGTTGGCGTCGAGGTGACGGTGCTCCTCCTTCTCGTGCGTCGGTGGAGGTTTAGCTGTCTCGGCCCCTGACTGAGTTCAAGTCCCCTTTGGTGATGATTCCGGTATCCTTATATATGGTTGTAGCCTCGAACGGAGCCTAAGTGGTGGTGGACGCTGCCGCCGTTTTCTACTGGTGGCACGTCGTCCGTACCTGGACACGCTTTCCCTTTGGCCCATGAACACGTATCATCCGTTTTTGCATGGGAACGTCATCGGTTTACCACACCATTAATAATGGCCCTTACGTGCGTACACTTAATGCGACGACCGATTTCATATCTTGTTGCGTGAAATTCTTAATTTATAATTAACAAACTTTACACATGAAGGACAGAGTCCGTAACACTTCTTTATTTTTCTAATTATTTACAAAATGTATTTACTTTAATGTAAGTATACAAATAACGTTTTCACAAGAGTTTTTTTTTAAAACTTTATTTCATTACTTTTCAACATTTTTAAAATAACCATTTAGAAAAAAATATTCTAAAAATGTTAGTGTAACATACGATTACATTCATATCCAATTAATAGTTTCTTATTTATATTGTTTTAATACATAGAAGATAGGCGTGAAAACAATTAACATTCAATAGAAGATAAGGAATAATAGTTACCGTGCTGATTGTGATTCCTTATCGTGTACCGTGTTATTCGGTTGAAAATAATTGTTTTCACGCTAATTTTCTAGGAATTAAAACAGGACACCATCTGAATAATATTTAAACTATTCGTTATTTTATACGGAAAAGTAATATTAAAAAAAAAATAAAATAAAATAAAATAAAAAAGGCTACTTACTCGAACAACTCAAGTCTAAATATTCGACGTTCTCGAATTTGGCGATCAGACCGTCTAAGTTATCTCCGTTTTTATTATCGTCGTCCACATTACATTCCGCGATATTCGATAGCACGACATTGGCGTCGATCACTCCGAATTCCATATTTGTTACTTAAGATAATACTATTCGACACGGCGTCGGAGAAAATGCCGGAAAAACGATACCTATTAATACAGTCGTCGTAATGTTATCGCGTCAACGATGTGAGCATGTGTCGACGACACGTTAACGGTACAACTGATACGGCGTAAAATTGCGGAGACCTTTTGAAAAATCCGAAATAAAACCGTACCCGTCATTACAATAATAATATCGATGACCACCCGGAAGCAGCGTTTAGCATAATATGCGTGGGTATTAATAGTTTAGTAATAAAACTTAAAAGTAAGTCGGTATCGCGTGTTGTTATCGTGGTCACGTACACCGGTAACCATGACGATCCGGGGCCGCGGTAACCGTCTCGTACCCAGGTATAATGCGTATATTATATATACCTACCCGTGGTTATTGACGTAACGCGTACCTACCTATAACACCCACTGCTCGGACGGCTTTATCGATGGACGGTCGTCGTTTCCGCGTATCGCGGCCGGGTCGGCGGTTATTGCCGTAGTCATGAACGTTTGGCGTAAGCTAATGAGGATTTTGGGTATCGCCGGACGGACGCCGCGGCGGCGCAAGGCCCGAGCGCTTTTCGTCGGGCTCAACAACGCGGGCAAGAGCACGCTGTTGAATCGCCTGAAATCGGACCGGGAACAAGTGTCGCGAAAAATGATCACTCCCACTGTCGGGTTTACCGCCGGCCAGTTTGTCTGTGAGTATTGCCGTACGAGGCCTCAGTGATGGTCAAATAATTTTGCTACGGGGACAATAAGGGATAAGGATAATTTTTTAATAACTTGCTGTTATTATTTAGGTATATCATTTTTTTTTTCATTTTTTTATAAAATATATATTACATAATATACTATTATAAATGTTGAAGGCAAATGAGGTCATGAGTGGCTACATATCCCTTTCATCCCCCGTCTACGTTTGATCGCTCCCGTGAAACCTATAGGCTACCTGGTTACGGGGGTCCACACGGCGACGATACCAATGCAATACAAGTACCTAATTAATATCATGAACTATAGACGTTTCGTCGTGTGAACAGGGCCATATTATATAGGGTGATAATTTTTTAATGGACCATCAAAAAGTGTAGGGAAGGTCTAAACTTTAAACTTTAAACTTAATTCATGTATGGAAAATTCGATATTAGTGTTATACATTTATAATACATGTCAAAATGGTTAGCAAAATATTATCTACTCGAATATGTGTTCAAAAAGGAAGATTCTAAGTGAAAATATAAAAATATGTACTTATTTAAGGTATATGAAGTAAATAGGTAATAAAAAACAAAAAAAAAGTTTTGAAATAAAGCTTATTCCATAATTTAACAATGGCTGAAAAAACAAACAGAAATCAAATTCACTTAAAATCATCCAAAAAATTTGCTGGTTCATGATAAAATGAACACTGTATGAACATAAATATATTGTAATGGCTATACAACTATTGTGAGAGCAAATATCACACTGTCGTGCACGCACGATATTGATGTAGTTACTATCATGAGACTGTAATCGTGATAGTAAATATCGCCTCGTAAACACATTATTATACAGCAGTGGCGTAACTGGATAAATATTTTCACACGTGATTAGGTATATTGAATTTGATTTTATGTGAGGATGGTCTAATTTTTTTTTAAATTTTTTCAACTAACATTTTTTCTCATCTCCTAATTGTGGAACTGAATAGATTATTTAGTATTTTGTTATCCTGTATTTTTTTTTTTTTTTATCTAATAATTTGTAATAAAGTATGAAGTATGAAGTATAAACTTATCAGACTTAAAATTTGATGTTTTGAAAATATGATGGAAAGTTTTTATCTTTTTATTACTAAATTTTGAATTCATATTGTTTATAAAAATAAATAAATAGGTACTTTTAAAAAAAAATATTCTTTCTTTTTTATTTATAATCATAAAAGATAATGTGCATAATATTTACCGGAGTCCCATATACCTAGGTACTCTAGGTGTAGTCCGCGACTTACGATTATAGCACGTGGTTATAGACACGGATTTTATAAATAATAATATATTATACAATTTATAAACTTAAATATTTTTGGTGCAAAATGATACTTTTGTAACATCTGAAAATTGTTTGGTGTAGCAAGTTTAAATATGCAAAGATTAATCATTGCTAACGAAAAATTATTCTGAGCGGAGTTCGGTTACACATATTTTGAAAGGCCGTATAATATTTACGATATGAAAATTAATTCCTATTGTAACTTTTCATACGTTTTTCCCAGTTTTTCCGATTTATCATGAAAACCCCACGAAAAATCAAAAAATAATCTGCTTAAAGTACTACCCCAGGAAAATTTCCTTTCAGAAAAGTTGCTATACTTGAATATCGGAGCACAATTTCTGATAGAAACACAGTTCATGAAAAAAAAAAAAAAGAATTAAATAAACATCATTGTAAAACCCATAAATTCCTCGCTATACGTTCAGAATTTAAAATACAATAACAACGTTAACTATACTATAGTCAATTTTACTATACTGTGACATTCACTAAATGCAATTTAGTACTCGATTTAACAATTTGCTTTAGTGACTCGGCTGAATACTATCCAAGTGTAAACCCAGCTTAACATTATATCGATCACCTTGTGTAATACTATCGTTCAATTTTACTCTCATGTCGTGCTTTATTCACAAAACGTTTTTATCGACTTTTATTCTACTGCAAAACATCATGCCATCTAATATCAGTCAACTATACACGGGCGTTTTCGCTGGGGGAGGGGTAGACGGGGCAATTGCCTCCTCTTATTGGTTTTTAACCTAACCTTGTAGCTTTAGTACCTATACCCGCCATTTATTATTTTTTTTAATTTTTGCTCCCTCCCTAGAAAAATATCTACGAACACCCATTAATAGTTTATCATCGCACAATAGACGATTATCTATCTCCCTATACAGGTACCTGTGATAATTGCTATCGAAATAGTTGTCAAACCTACTATCGTGATAGTAACCATCGGACGTGTGTAGTGTTAAAGACCAGTTATTAAGAACTCCCTTTGTGGACTTTGAAAGGGTATATTGATTTAGATTTTAGGAACAGTTGGGAGTTTCGCTGTATTGCAACAATAATAATACTTTATTATTGTATTAGGGATGGGGAATTTTAATATTTTTCGTATACCGCGGAAAATTCGTATGTTTTTTTAATAAAAATATAAATTTCTAACATTCCAAAAACATTATTTTATATATTTTCAAAAATAATTGTTACGCGAATAATAATTCGTTTGGGTTGTTTTTAAACTAAATACCTAATACGGAACGAATAACGCTATATACCGTAAACGTAAACGCATTTCCGCGGTGAACCGGAACTGCAGCTTTCCGGGTGTTTCACTCCATTTAGTTCCGATGAAGTTTTGTGGCCAAAACTAACACAAAAACGGACTTGGCAATAAATATTGTAATATTATATTATGCACGAAGAAGAAACAAAAATTGTATACAGTCGAGTGAAATAGTTTGTGTTATACGACCAGCAATAATGTGAGTTACACGATTTATAACAAATATAAAATAATAATGTGTGAAATGATATAATTCTGACAAAAACCGTTTTCACTCCGCACGATAGTAAATAAACTGCAACGGACTACACCTTATTCTGTCTGTTTAAGTGCTATTTAATGGTCGTATATGTATTGTATTTTTTGTTTTAATTCCGAAAATGCATTTTGGAAGGAAAAGACGGAAAAATGCCACTGTGACATTTTTCTATTTTTTTTCTCGATTAAATTGGCTATAAAGAATTTTGGCTTTTCTGTTTGATTAATTTCATGCTCTTATCTGGTTCTGGACTTTTGAAAAATTATTAATTTTTAATAATATCTTTGTAGTAGACGTATGACATTTAAGCAATGTTACAACTGTTACAAATTATACATGTTAATTTTTGTATTATTTTGTACAAATCAAACCATGAATTTTGTCTTAGAAATGAGGAGAAACACAAATAAACGTTTCAACTTAACGACGAGCTATCGTTTTTCAAAATGTCATAATACGAGTATTAGGTATCAAAAATCTATGATTTCTACTATAAGGTTCATTTATTTTCGTATCGTGTAGTGTATTTTCTGGTATAATTTTGTATTTCATATTACACATCGTCAAACTTTATGGTACTGATTTACACTATACTATTTTCACTGAAATTTTGCGCTGATCGTTTTCCAACCGTTTTTCTTGCGTCCATAACACGGTCGTTTGTATAGGTTATATAAACGTGTGTATTTAGGTAATTTGACGAAACTGAATTACAATATTCTACCACTAAAATTAATACTTCGGTAAACAGTTTTTGAAATTCACCCATTGTGCCGACCAAAACTCAAACATTTCAGACAGTTTATTTAGCTTTGAGTCGATCAATAATATGCAAAGTTGTTCGCCCCTCTCTGTTCCCGCCGATGGTTGGACGGTATACTACACACCAAACGAAGTAATATTTTAATACATACCATACTATATTATATACTATCATAATATATACAACCCGGTTTTTAATTCATCAGCTAAAAGCACTCCGAATTAAAAATTAAAAAATCACGTGGTATTTGTTACACTACGACGTAGTGATGGTTGGATTTTACTTCTTTTCTTAATCTCAAAAATACAATACAATAATAGGGAGTCGGCTGAAACGCTGACAGGTAAAATATCAATAAATTGATGTCAACTGTGAAAACATCGAAAAGAACGAAATATCGACAAATAAAAGTTTATTATTACCAAAGTAAATATTGACAAATTAAATAATTAATAATAATAGTTATAATAAGAATATAAAAGTCATTATGAAGTATGTTATAATAATATTATTTTAGATTCTGATTGGAGTTAAGAAACTTATGGTTTTACAAAGATATTTATTTTTTTTTTGTGGACAACTTTTCTACCAGAGATCTTGCTCCAATTTTTAAGTGTAGCAAAGGAAATCTGAAAGTTAATCTGACTGAGAGGTATTTTGGGAAAGTCATTTTTTGATTTACCATGGATTTTTCTCAACAAATGAGAATAACCAGGGGAAAACCGCTTATGTAATTATTTTACCATAATGTGACATATATAATTGTTGAAAAAGCAACACTATCAACTAAATTTCACTCAGAATCATTTTTTCCTTAGCAATAGTTTATCATTACTGCTGTTAGTACTGAAACAGATAAAAATTGTTCTTAGATATATAATATAATAAACAATATGTATAAGATTAAGTTTATCAAAAAAAAAAAACATTTTTTTTTTTTTAAATTTTATTCGCTAGTATTTTATTGTTATAAACTAATCTTTAGTCGTCACACATTTTATAATTGCGGGTTAAATGCTTATACGCATTGAATTTCAAAAATAGGCCCTGAGGTTTAGTCTGATAGTCTGATCGTGACTCGTGAGTATATAGTTAACCTATGTTTACCTATAGACTTACTATGGAAATGGACATCTGAATAAGAATTATTGTGTGATATTACGTCTAATGCAGTTATTAATTTCATGTATTATAAATGTAGTGAAATATTAAAAGAACGTTACAACTTTAAAAATACGATTTTAGATTATGACCAAATAATTTTATTATTATGTGGTATTTGTTTCTGTCTCTGTATCTATTCAACCATCAACTTTAAGGGTAGTTTTCGATAGCAAATTTAGTTTAGTTGGTGAATTATTTAGAGGTTTTATTTTTATTTTTCTTAAACATTTTGGTGAAAACGGGAAAAACGTAAGAAAATGTATACAAATCACTAATTTTTGCTTACTACTGTTATACAACTTGTTCATTTTAAATTTATGCGAATAAAATTATTTTGGCTATATGAAAGTTCTCAACAGTTTAATATCAAGTACATCATAAATTTTACTTACAGGTTAAAAAAAATGTAGTGCGGCTCATTTAATCATTTGCCGGTATAAAATAATGAGCCAGTACGCGCCTGATTACAAGCTTTTTTAAGCTCAAATGTTTGACGAAAATCGTAAAAACTACTGCTTTTAGAAATATGTTTAACTAAACTTCGCTCAGAACTATATTTTGTTAGCAATGATTTATCGTTGCGTATACAGATACTAACTAAATAACTTTACCTTCCTAACTTCCCTCCTACAACAGTGGCACACCCATTAGCAGGATCAGTTTGTTTTTTCAACCCGCAAATAGTTAAATGACGCAATTGTCTTCCATCTTCTGTATCCGTAGTGACTTCCTTAACCTCCTTGTAAACTCAATATCCAACAAAATTAGTTTATAGAAGATTGGGGGAACTTGAGGCTCTCCCTAGTTTCTTTTCGATTTCCCATTACATTTTTGTGGTTATCCATGCATTGTTTATTATTATTAGGGTTTGTAAGTTCATGCATTTGCATGTATTTTATTGTTATATAGAAAACCACCTATAGTCACAAAAATATAAACTTGAATAGTGCATATTTTGGATATTTTGGCAGTATATTTCATATAAATTCAGAAATTATTATTTCTTATTTACTTTTCCGAACACGTTAAGTGTTGACAAATTGTTTTTTACGGTTTATTTGTACTCTCGTATTGGTTATATGAGATTTTTAACATAATAAAGTAACGTTATCGCTACTACTATACGAAGCGCCGAAAAAATATCACCGGTAAAATATGGTGCGACAAAAATATCATCAGTATAAAATGTAGTAGCAATATAATTATAAAATAATATAAAATCGCATGCAACAAATAATTTATGTAGCAATATATAATTACTATTAACTCAGGTTTTACCTTGACATCAGCAACAACTTTTTATTTCATAAATATGAAACCGTTGTGCATTAATACTCTTATCCTTTTGTACTTTTTGTAGTTTTTATAATATTTAATGACAATCAAAAAAAAACAAAGTTGATATTTTACAAGTTTCAACTAAAAATACAAAGTAAAATTGTTAAACAGTACAAACTATTATAAATGACAATTATTGTAATAGGTGGATAAGATAAGTAATTTACAAATTTTCCTCCTTAGCGAAATCCTAAATACGTCGCCGGTGTCAAGTTGCATAGACGGTTTTTTATACATTTAACGTGATTGTGTTTCTTTGATACACAATTACAGTTTATAATGATCATTTGATCTTTATCATATCACGATTATAAACAAAAAAATTTTTATCATGCCCTTATGTCTCGGTTCACTTATTTAAGTAAATTTATATTTTTATTATAGAACTAGTTGACAATTTTGAATGCAGTAATTAACGCACAATAAAATTAGTATGGATAGAAAAATTGGTGAAAAACTGAATAATCTATTATGTTATCATTTTATCAATTCAATAATATTATTTGATATTTATCGAACCAAAATAGGGACTTTCAAATTATCGATCTATTAAGAGGATTTTTGTAGAATCGATACAAGTTGTTTTTGCAACAGCTAATCGAGTTGATTAAAACGTTATCGGTTCGATAAACAGTTATTGCTCATTTATGCGACCCGGCATGCCCATTTATTTCACTTTTAACGATAGTTTTACATTTACTGTATAATAATATAATAGACCTACTATCGTTCTTCGTGGTATAATGCTATTTTTCGAATTCAGATGATGGATTTTATGCAGCCGAAACCTAACGGCCGTAATAAAATAACAGTTTAATTTGTTTAATTTGTATTTTCAAACGTTATACTAATTGTAATCAGGGGCGTGGGTAGGGGGGATGGGTTAATCTTCCCCATTTTTGAAATCTCAATTAGTAAATAAATAGGTAATAATAAAAATACAAATTTAACAAACAATTGAAGGCCAACCCCTGTCCCATAAATAATCTATACCAACGCCCTTGATTGTATTGCATTATTATTATTATTTTTATTGTGTTATTACGTTATCTTGGACGATTATTATCAATTTGTATTATATTTCTGTATTGTGCCGTCGAAACAGTTAACAACGTGAAGTTCGCGGTGACCGACATGTCCGGTCGGGACGGGTACCGGGCCCTGTGGGAGTCAATGTACGGGCAGTGCGACGCCATCGTGTTTGTGGTGGACAGCACGGACCAGATGCGGTTTGCCGTGGTCAAGGACGAGCTGGACATGATGCTCCGGCACCCGGACGTGGCCGGCCGGCTGAACCTGCCGATACTGTTCGTGGCCACCAAAACGGCTGCGCCGGACGCGTGCGGTGCGTCCACCGTGGCCACGGCACTACGGCTACACGAACGCCTGGAACCGAATCGCCAGTGGCGATTGGCCAGTACCGATGCGATTACCACCACCACCGTCGGTGCTGGTATGCCGGGCCAACCCGTGGACGACGGACTCCGGGAGGCGATGGAATGGCTAGTCGATCTTGTCAAAGTCTCTCATCATCGACAATCGTAGGCGCGTGATAACCGGGTGATATCACGTGATAGCCGCCATAGTATCTGTGGTAGGTATCACTGCGATTATTACGTCATCTGTCGTGTCGTGTGCTTTTAGTCGTATTGTTCTGAGTATCCGTTAAAATCGTGTAGTATCATTCAGTAATGATAACATCATGACTTACCGGGATATCTCCAGAGCTGTGCTGAGGTCAGCTTTCGTATTGTGTTGGTATAAATCCACAATGTATTAGTAACAGTAAAAGCCACGTTCATTTGAAAAATCACGACACGACAAATGTCACTGTGATACCGAAAGTGGACGCATTTAAAAGTTCTCGGCTGTTCGCGTTCCGAATTGAGTATTCTATCAAAGGCCATCGCTGTCATTAAGTATAAAATATATACAGGGTAGTTTAGAGAAACGGGACATTTTAGAATAAGCCGTAAATCAGAAAAAAACAAATGATTTGTTTAGTTTTATTGTTAAAAATAAAAAATAAATTATATTATAATAATAAGCGTCCAAGGTAAACATTTTCAATATTTTTTATAAACAATGTCTATTAGGTGCACTTTTGGTTTGGAATGTTGGGTTTGTTCCCAGGATCAACGTTTATTGGTTAGGTTAACCTAACCAATAAAGGTTCCAACTCCCAATATCACCTGGGGGGGTCATTGACGAAGGAAAGGCTTGTGCGTATGAGATTTTTTTTCTTGTGGAGCTACCTTAAAATCAATGTACAAAATTGGCCCAATAACAATTGCCGAATTCGAAACGAGGATTTAATAATTATTGAATAATTACTGAATCCTCGTTTTGAAGCCAACCGGAATTTCATCTTGTGAGCATTGTTTTTGGAAATTGAAATTGTTGGTTTTGGGACACTTAATGACATCTTATTTACATGTTTATAACAGTTATCAATTGAATACCATGAATTATTTAACTTTAAAATTATGATATTATATATATAGATTTGTACATAGTACATTATATTTATTCAATATTGTAAAATTTCAATTTTATGTATTATTTGACTACATACACAGGCAAATTATATACTGCCTGCAATATAACAGTACACCATAATAGGAATATAATCTAAACATGTTTCAGTTACTATTTTATGAATAAAAATCAAATTATTTTAATTTTAAGTTTTATGATTAATGCAATCGTAGTGTATAAGTACTTATTATAATATGTTACTTCCAGAACGAATGCGACGAACTGAAATTTCAATCTGAACTGCACGTTTAATTCACATTATTAGGTACCTAATACTTTATTTATTCATATTATATTATTATGTAAAACACAAAACAAACGGTTAAACAGTTTTAATACATTTGTATAATTAGAATAATTATAATATATCCCAATCGTCTCTCTCCTTACTAAGTTATGTGTTGGCCATTCTAATTTCTGCCTTTATCTCTCTCTCTCTTTCTCTCTCTTTGTTAAACATTTTTACTTAAGTTAATTAAAATATTTTAAAGACAATACAAATTAATAAAACCAATCTTATACATATTATTTGTGTTATTATTTTACTTTGTATACTAGTTGATAATTTATATAGCATACTACGTATAAATTATTAGGAAATCAATTTAATTTTAAAAATTTCGTTTTCCTAATTGATATTAATATCAATTTTAGTACGTATGGTATTTTTTATCATATACATGATGATTTTTATGAACTGGTGGTCAGATCTCGTATATTACATTTCGTAATTGGTGCTGATTAGTGGGATTTAAAAGATGTAATATCGAATATTATTATGATTTATGAGTGAGGGTTTTATTTCCAGGTCATATTTTAAGTATACGTTAAATTTAGGTACTTGCGATAACATGTTATTTGTAACATAAATTCATATTCGATCAATAGTTTCTTAGTAATAGCTATTTTAATATCTAGAAAATCGGAGTAAAAACAATAAATTTTCAATAGAATAACACGTTATGCAATAAGGAATCACAATCAGCACGGTAATTATTCCTTATCTTCTATTGAACATTAATTGTTTTTACGCATATTTCTTACACATTAAAGCCACTATGACTAAGAAACTATTAATCGGATATGAACGTCTACAATTTTCTATTACAATATAGCTATTTTGAAAATGTTAAAAGTGGAAAATAAAAAGTTATTTTTTCAGTGATTAAAGGATAAAAATTAAAATTAAATTTTTCTCTATATATGTGTTTCGCTCACACAAAACCGGAATGAAAAAGAAAATATATAAAAAATGAATATTGACAGAGTTATAAACATAAGGATAACACTATAGGGCACACTGTATTTTCTTTTTCTAGATAAATTCATATAATATATTATCATCTTTCATCTTTAAACTAGATACATTTTGCATTATCCATTCCCAACACTGTTGTGATTTGATAGCATGCATATTTTGAGATTTTCGCAATATTTTCTTATATGTATACTATAGTATATTCGTATTATGTGTACGATAAGGACCTCAACGATCGGTCAATGGCCATCTAAAATCGATTAAGGTATTAGCTGCCTCACTAATAAATATAAATGCCTATCTGTATACACAATACATTATACATATAATAATATTGTTAATTATTTTTCAAGACCTTTTTCATGCCCTATGCAATCACCCACTTCGCAGCTAACTGAGTACCGGGACTTGAAATGAAACATAACACAAAATAGGTATATTATACTAGATTAGATACTTTACAAATTAGTTGACGACTGTGAGTATTTCGAGGGAAATTTGATTTTTGCAAGTTTATACAATTAATTTTGATATTTTAAGTGCATTAAGCGAAATAACCGTTATTCCTGTGATTTTCATTTTGTCACCAAATACAACACAAATCACATATAATCGATTTGATCACTTATACTTATATAAGTATAAGTACATGCGATACTTATAAGTTTATAAAATATCGTATTCTGAATTATAGTTCTAGTTCTATTTAAATGGATTTCATTTAATATATAATTTGAAATATTATATTCATAATTCATATTTTATATGTAGTATTATACACCCGGCTTGTGTTGTATTTTATATCATGACCACGAGTGTCCCAATACACAACTACTTACGAAGAGGGTGATCGCAAACATATCGATCACATCGGTGCCAACACTTGCATATACCGTGAAATCTTTTCCCATAAGCTTCCATTATCATATTCTCTTCTCGTTTTATTTTGACGACCTAGTCATTGTACTATTTTGCGATGTAAAATACCACAGTCAGAATTTTTTAATAATAATAATATTGGTGATCTGGCATAATATATTTTATTTACAAAAAAAAAAAAAAAAACAGTCAATAAGAATATTATAGGCAACGGCCGTGATGGTGCATAATATATTATTATAAAATGAAATTCAATACAATTTCGTAATAATATAATATACGAATATAGGTACATAAACTATGTAGGTAGGTATATCAATAGCTAAAAAATTATTATGAGTGACAACAAATAGACAATGTATAGATTCGCGTTAAACGCGCCTATAAAGATAGATAGCAGTATATTTTTAGTCACAAAGGCGCATAAAACACGCGTTTTATTACAATAAAATGTAATATATCATACAATTAAAATAATATCTAAAAAACGATAACAACAAATGAGTATATAAAATAACTTTCGGTGGTCCCCCCTACTTTTTATTAAAACAAATCATATACTATAATATACTCCGCTATAATCGCTAAAGGAATGTTTGTGTTTATAATAAATAAATAATATATAAATGTACACCTATTCATACCTATACAAATATTGAGCATACTGGTAATAAACACCACGAGTTCGTTGGTTAACACCTTCGAATACAGTAAATACTATCTAAATTTATCGGTTTTAATGGGGTATTATTTTTCCCTTTTGGCGTACAAAACACATGAAAAAAAAATAGAAAGATGCTCGCATTGTGTTTTATTACAATAATAATTTAGCCCAAAGAGACCGTGGGACGATAAACTATTAGACTAGGTTCTCAACAAAGATTTGACGTAAAATTCATGAATCATTGTAATGTTTAATACCTTACGCCGAAAAAGTCGAAAAAGTCTATACAATAACACTTATTGGTTTCAAAAATAAATTTTTTAATTTTCGCCAAACGTATTACATATTATAATTAATAGCCGTCATTGATTTGTTTGATACACCGACCTAGCCAAAAACAACGATCCTTTCACATTACGTGTTTTGTTAGGAAAAATATATGAATATGACTGTAAATAAATAGGTGGTTCAAAATTTAAGTTTATATATTGCTCGTGACGGCACTCAATTTCAGGAATTTTAACAGATTGCACACAGTTCTAGTAGAAAATGATTTAAGTAAGTACTTTTCATCCAAATCCCACGAGGCTTATACATAGATTATTTGTGGTGAGAAGAGGGGTTTCTGACTAAAATGTAATTTAATAGAAGTGAATTGGATTTTTGATATTATTTAATAATTTTAATAAATTTATTTGAATTTATCGAGATAGGATTATCCTAACCCTCTTACATATTTACCAAATTTCTCCCTTTTAGCAGCCCAATTGCCTATTATCTTAATTGATAGATACTTAAAATCTATAATAAAAATCAACACGATTGTGTATGAAGTTTGATGTAACGTTGTGAAATTTATATTAATAATATTGTGCTGTGTATTTATGAATTCTGTTTTTACCCATCTATTTATTCAGATTTAAAAAAAACTCTACAATTGAAATTGCTCTACGTTTGCCTATTTCGGACTTTATAAGTTTAGTCGAATTTCCCACATATTTTTTAACACAACTATACGGAGTACCGAATGAGATGAAAAGACCGATCAATATTATATGACATTTCCAGTATAAGATAAGTATAATATTACGCATAATATATTAATATGATATTGCATTGCAGGTATTTTTAATTGATCTATCTGCAGGTTTAAAGGTTCGTAACGAACAGTAATATTTGTATATATTATAATAATACCTAAATGCACACCAGTGTGTTTCAAGTTGGTGGGCACACAATTTGAATATTATTATTGTTTAATAACTAAATGCACTTTTCGGCAACCAGACTGCCGGAATCATCATATAATCATAAAATACAGTAAACAAAACGTTTTGACGATATTGCAACCAAATATCGGTGTTATTATAAACAAAAATTAAATCGCTAAAACATGCCCGACAGTGTCGGTTTTTCACCCGTCAAGGTCAGCAATCGATCGCTATAAGTACTGCGGTATACGTATACATTGATTATAAAGTGTTCAGAAACAAATTTTCATATGAAAAAAAACCCCTATAAATAGATACCCTTGTCAACGGGGTAAGTTAAATAATAATAATAATAATAATAATAATAATAACGACGCTCTGTTAACACAAAACATTGATTGCTAACACGTGACCATTAGTTATTGTCGAATTTACTGCCGGACTCGAAACGGCCGTTGTTTTCGGCGGCGGTCTTCGTCTTGCTGCTGTTGATGTGATCGTTCAACGTGGTCCACGCGCAGTGGATCTGAAAATGCAGTCTCGTTTCCAACGAATACCCGGAGTAATTTTTTCTGGAACAACAACAACTTGTAAAACATACATCATGAAAAAATATCGTGGCGAGAAATAATAGATAAGTATTAAATATAATGGGTGTGATTATCATATGATGATATAATGTAGTGATGATTCGGTGACAACTGATCACTTTGTACTTTACAGATGAAATTTTTCAATTTAAAATGGTTTTTGACAAACAAACTCGTGATAACACGAATGCGTGAGTAGAGAGCGTGTCAAAATTCAAAACGGCAAAATTTACAAGAAAGACGAAAACAAATTTTATTAATCGCCCAATAGCATAATATTTGTTATTATTTCGAAATAGTTTCTTTTTTTTTACCGTTTAACGTATGAACTCTCTTATTGTTAAGACATCCATTCAAAGTTTATTAATTATTTGATATGTTGGAACAGAAATTAGCAAAACTGTATTAGTTATTTGAAGTTTTTTATTGGCCCCTTTCCAAATTAGAGTTATCGATAATCAACCGATGACAATATTTATATTATATACTTAATACTCGCACATGAAGGGTACAGGGAAAAAACCAGAAAAGTCAAATTTTTCCAAAATGGCAAAATTAGTAGCAAACAATTTGTGTTAATGCACTGTACCTTTTGTATGATTAGACCAGCGAAAATATCTGATTAGGCGAAAGTAATAAGAGCCAGAAGTTTAGACCTACAGGAAAAAAATAAGTAAGTCAACTGATAACCACACAAATTTTGAGTGAATACACGGCTATAGCTGTGGTTAATAATATAATATAATATTTTTATTGTGCTATGGTTACTACATTTCAAAATTTAACATTTAATTTACTCGAACTTTTTACCTAGTAAAAAAAAATTGGTAACGTTTTAAAATTAAAAACACGTTTAACTCAGATTGAAAGAAAGGAAATTTTATGGGGTTTTCCTTGTACCCTTCAGTTACGCAGGGAAAGTAAGGTTTAAGTAGATTTTGTATAATATGTCCAATAAAAGTAAATTTAAATTTAAAAAAATGCTAAAAGTGAAATATTTGCAATCTCATTTGGAAGGCCGTCACAA